ACCAGCAGATCGCCGAACAAACCACCCGGTTCTTGGTCATCTTGCTCATCATCGGAGTCGAACGTGTGCATCATGTTCTGCAAACTAGATGCTGCGGCAGCAGCCCCGGCCATTATGGACTCCTCATCCATATTGGGCGTGGCCTTCTCGTCGGCGCGGCCTTCTCGTGCGTGTGCGTGTAGATGTATTCGTGTCTTCGTGTGTTGTTGGGGTGTGTGTTGGCGGCGTATGTGCCGAAAATGCGGCGCTACTTGCCTTTTCCGCCGCCCAAACATTTTCGCGACCTGCCCTATTTCAAAATGTTTGTCAAGCATTTTGTCAAACGAGCGACTTTTGCCCCATTTCAAAATCTTTCAGGACATTCTGCCGAAGATTTCCTCCCATAAAAAGTGAAAAAAAATCTTTAGATCTAACCGCATATGTTTGAAATTTGAACATTTTTGCAAAGATTTGGCGACCACAAACATGGGTCTCGACGAAAAACTTCCGGTCCCCTTTTCCCGGTTAGAAGTGCGGCGTAATCGCCTTTACCCGGAAAAACACACCGCTACCGGAAAAACGGCCGCCTACCGGAGGTTTTCACCCTAGATGCGAACCCCCCTAATACACTATAACAACGGATCCCCCCTGCCGCATACGCCGAAGCTGCCGTCATAATGCATCACGGAACCCGCATGCCAGCGGGCTGCCCGCGCGTGAACCTTGGCACAAACACCATCGGATATTATATACGCACACACACACAACATGGGGGGGCGGCGCCGTCAGACTTACTTGCGGCCAAAAAGGATCAGCGCGCAAAAGAGGTGGAGATACATCAGACTACGCTACTACTCTAGACTAGATGGATGGGTAGCTTGTTCGCCCTGCTTCGATTCCTAACTCACCACAGCAAAGCTGCACGTAAATTCCATGACCATCTCGGTGAGCAGACACGTGTTGAAAAGGGCATCGTGCACGCACACACTTCGTCGCCGGTAGTGTGTATCATCAGCAGAGGTAGTATTCGAGAGGGGGGGGGGGCGAGAGGACTGACTGGGTGTGTGGAGCAGTCCACAGCAAACAGCTGTAGTGTAAAGCGGCAGCAGAGTCGAGCCAGCACCGGCGGCATTGCAGTAGAGTGCACGAGTAGCACTATGCCCATCCATGTCCATATTCTTGTGCTGCCAGTGGAAAATCACCAGAAGCTCTTGCAGGAGTACCTTAAGTTTTCCACCTGTACGGCGAAATTACAGTGAAAATCATACGCAACGAATCACAACGCACCGACTCATATTTTTTGCTTGGCGTGTAATTTCCCATCGCGCTCCCCAACAGAGACGTGCGAGCACACTGGTTGCGACACGAGTTTTGTTCTCGCCACGCCAAGGACGGAACGATCAACTTACAGCGAAAGAAGTGTAGGGCTGCAGGGTGTAAATCGACCTCCAACTATGGAGTCGGGATAGTAGCTAGCACACACGCTGTCGAGGCCATGTGGAAAATGGGATGACCGACCATCGTGGTAAGCTTGTCGTCACCCCCTGCGTATCAAAGGTTGGGCCGGGTGTCGATCCGGCAAGAGATGCTGCGCTGGTGGTTGAACCGGTATTATTACCATCCGTGCCGCGTGCGGAAGCGTCAACAGCAGTGGGGGTGATGGTGCAAGCGGCAAAAACGGCATATGTGGCAACAATCGGAAGCGGTGGCAATGGTGTGGGCGGAGCGACTACACTGCCGAGCACCCCCAACCCTGCGGTGGAGTAGGATGGGGACGGGGGAGATCAACCACAAGAGTCGGTCGGGAACAAAACAGTGGCAGCAGACCCAGCGTCAGCATCAGCAGCGGCGGGAGAGAAGGAGGGGGAGAGAGAAGAAGTTCAACAGACCTCTGCACCGACACCTGAGGGAGACCACCTGGCGCCAGCATCAACAGCGGCGGGCGAGGGCGAGGAGTGCGAGGGGGGAGCGGGAGAGCATGCAATAGAGGCTGCGGTAGAAGGAACACTACAGGCAACAGAAATGTGTGTGGGCGCGGCAAGTACTTCTCCTACTAGCAGCCCATGCGCCAGTAGTACTCAAACTACACTTGAGCTGGCGCCTGTGATTGTAGAGACACCACCAGCACCAGCAGCTTCGGGCGAGGAGGAGAGGAATAGAGAAGCAGTAGACCACGAATTACCAGCATCAGCAGTCGCGGGTGAGGAGGCGGAAGAGGAGGGGGGAGGGGGGAGGCAGGCACCAGCGCCGGGGCCGGTGATAGACACATTTCCGGCGCCGACAGCAGCTGTGTCGGTGGTGGAAGCAGCAACAGAAGAAAAAGTACAAGAAGGCAAGTGGCAGAATATGCATTGCCAGCATCAGCAGCCGCGGTGGGCGAGGAGGAGGAAAAAGCGGGGAAAGGGGTAAGCGAGACACCAAGGTCGGTGGTAACAACAGCACCAGCATCACCAGCACCGGCAGCGGTGGTCGAGGAGGAGCAGGAAGAGGGTGAAGGGGTAAGGGAGGCACCACTAACACGACCAGCACCGGCAGCAGTGCCACGAGGCGTTGGATGCATTTCGGGAAGCAGCGGCGGCGGTGGTAGTGGAGGCGGCGAGTTCGGCACGGCATTTGACTCCGCGATATCGGTGTCGGCAGCAGGAGCACCAGGAGCCGGCGGCGTAGAGATGGGGCCATCCAGCAACCTAAACCTCCTCGCCATCGCCTGACTGCACGCGGAAAACGGGGGTTGTGGAAGGGTCGGCAGTGTGGTGGCGGCGATGGAGCCACTCACGATTTGAGTTTTGCATTTTCGAAGCATGACTGACTTGTAGCGAAATGAGAGGGGGTGCTGTTAGAGCACCGCAGCCAGGTAATTACATACGACATGTAATGCTGGCAAGAAGACTGGTGCCCGTCCACCCCTCCGCTTTTCCCCGCTCCACCCTTTTGAGCACGCGTTTGAATAGGAAACCATTCCGATCGAAGGCGGTGCGCCAGACCTTTCGCAAGAGCTCGCGGCCACAGGCCGTGGTCGAGACGGTGACGCCTGGACAAGACACGGAGCGCACGCAGCCTGTTCTGGCGAGTGGGGCCGTGGTGGCAGGTGGCGTGGGGGTGCAGGAGTGTCAAGACTGCGTACGCCAGCGGACGACGAAGAGATGTGTTTATCCAGTTCCCAAGCGTTTAACTTGGGCTTCTCAGTGCGGCTAAAAACATGTGTGCGTCCAGAAACAAATATCCATTTCAAACACCAAACTACATTCATTCGTCAATCGGCATCTTCTCTCTCCAAACATGAAACAAAGATGAATGTCACAACTCTTACACTCAGCCAGTCCCTCGTCTCCGAAAACGATTTCATGTCGTTCTATACGAAGTTTGTAGATCTTAACTCATTCACCAGTCCAATACATTCGTCTTCTGATGAATCCTCAAGTCGCCAGAAAAACTGTCCAACCTACGTCAATATTTCATCGAGATTTCATCTAGTCTAGAGCGAAGAAGGATATTCCGGGAAAACGCACGACAGTTCCAGAGCAACAGAGCAAAACGCTCAAATATCACATTAACGTCAGCTTTTTGCCATTGAGGCCCCAGCTATGTATCGCCGATCAGTACATGCCAAGTCCATCCATCCGATGCTTGTGGATATAGCCACATCCAGCAAAACAATTAAATCAAGTCACCAACCTCCCGAGAGAAACATCAGAAAAATCATTATCAGAGTACTTCAGTTTCGATATACCAGCACATAAAATACTTCTAAACCATCAACCCAACAGCCCCCCCCCTGTTGTGACATTCCAGCACACTCCACCACACTCCAAGTAAGTATGCATCGCCCGCAATCGATTCTCAAATTTCAACGGGCCCGTACTGTAGTGTGAACGTAGTTTATCTTCACGGCACTACTTGTACGTGTTGTCAAACCTCGATGCCAAATCAGACTTTTAACAACCAAATATCCAGTGCGACCATCATGTTGGTTGATAGTCTCCCTACCGCAAATCTACCGTCAGGTAACTTACACTTATTGCCTCTCTGTCTCCGCACACAAACGCCTTTGACATCTGGGAACGCTCCCATTTCCCCTACTAAGTTCATATTTGGGCATCCACTGTTCTTGTATCTCCAGAGAAGGACCGTCCCCGCCTCGCCTTTCAAATCCACTATACACGTGAAAATTCCCTTTAAGGACGAACCCCGCTCTACGCTTTAGTCCATGCTTCAAAACTCAATACTAGAGGAAATACGCCTTCTAACATACACGTCTGTTCCACCTTTTACTGAGCCAAAGTGCCCCCGCCCAACCCCCCAAGAAAAACTCCACAAGTGCGTTGCTCTGGCGGTATGCACAAAATTCGCAGCCACCTATATATAGTGCGGATTGGCAGCAAGGAAAGTCATAAGACTCCAGGCACGAAACCCATACAAGACTGTAGGAACGTATCTGGCCAAAGCATCAAGTGTCGATAAACATGGTACGAGTCAACAATCGGGGAATTCAACAAAACGAAAGGTCCGCGCTTTAGCATGCCTGTAGCGGAAGCAAATGTCTATCGATACTCCCCCTGGGTACACGTTCGTGGGAACGTGTAATAAGTTGCTCTTTCGGTTCAACCTAGATCCGTAGAGAGGCGTTCGCGAAGTAGCCGCAACGAGCCCCCTTCGATTCCGAGGTTGGTACTGACCTATCAGACGAATGTACTTCGATTCTAAAGCCAATACTAGCGCTGCTCGGCCACACACACGTTTGAAGAACGAAAGACAACAACATACCCCGAGGTTGGGACCGACGCGAACTCGTCATGAGGAAAAACAAGAGGACACACAATACCGCAACCGCCACTACTACGGTACTACATCAACAACCCTGAGCCGATGGTGTAGAGCTGCTCCACTGCCGCCAGCGGGTTTGACCCATGTTGGCAGCAACAGAAGAGTGCGTCCGATCTCCATGTTTGACACGCTAATCAAGACACATTTCAGTCGCTACAGGAGTAGCCACGCGTAGGATACACACACCATCATGCAGTTCACATCTCCTGCACCTCCTGAACAAGGCTCATTTCAACCTCTGCCACCCTCTCTCCCGTCGTCCCACGGAAACACCTCAGGAGGAACTCTGACTCGCAGAAGACAAACTCGGCCGCGATCCCACGGTCCTCAAAGCTTGCTCTCATGTCCAGGTTTACAGTAACTTCACCGAGAGGGAATGTTGAATCCGTGTCAGGGAACTCGATGTCCGTGTGGTGGCAGGCCAGTATCTGGAAAGAAACCGTGGTTTGGTTCGGGCGCAACGGACCATAGCAGCGCCTTGTACACGTGCCGTCGGAAGGCACGTATGCACCCCTCTTGATATGGGTCGAGAAAGCGTCAATGACTTCTTTGCCGGCCGAATCCCAGATGGGGGGGCTTGAACGGCGCTTGACGTGCTCGGCGTTGCTGGAGTCATAGATGCAGGTAGACTTGACGCCGTACGTGAGTTTGGCTATGCGCGAGAACGCAAGCTGGTTGCTCGCGAAGATTGTAGCCCCTCTGACGATTGCCAACTCTCGCCGATCAACGTCGATGACACGGCACCCGCCACGGTCCAGCTCGGCACGCGCGGCTTGCTGGACGAGGGGGCAGCAAGAGAACCCACCCACGAGAAATACGTACTTGAGGTCTCTGAGTAACGGCTTTCCCCTGAGACTCCTGAGGCAGTTGCCGATCTTGTCGATCGTCGGAGCGAAGAACGTTCGCACCAGGCCAGACGGCAGGTCGATGTAGTGGTTCATCCGGGTGAGGTGATGGGTGGGCTCGAGGTCGTGGTTGTGGGCAGCCACAAGCTCCTGGGGCACGCAAAGTGCAAAGAATAAGAATATCATTCGTTCAGTCTGGCAGGTTTGTTCGGGAAAAGTTGGGGCATCAAAGACCACGACTCTGCAACCTATCGCATACTCGACGTAGCTAAAAAGGTAGAAATACCCACGAGAGATACTGATCAGCTCCTACGCCTTGAATCCTTGTGTCGATTGTTGGAGTGTGCACTGCAGACGTACACAGCAGTGCATCTGATACGCGTGCATGTGTTCTTGACGCCGGAGAAGGACCGTCGAAGGCCACAGTCGCAGTCTTCGATGTCGATGAGGCCAACGAATCGAAACCCGCCAGTTGTAGGAAACACCTTAATGGGCGTTTCTTGCCTTGCGCGCCGCCAGGCCTACCAAGAGGACAAATCAAAATGTTCATGACTGAGTTCTTCTCNTCCCGCCAGTTGTAGGAAACACCTTAATGGGCGTTTCTTGTCTTGCACGCCACCAGGCCTACCAAGAGGACAAATCAAAATGTTCATGACTGAGTTCTTCTCACCGCCAGCTTCCCTTTGTCGAACCCTAGCTCCATCACCACGTCAACCATGTTGAGCGATACATCCTCATCCTCTTTGCCTTGAAACGCCGTCTTGGCTTCCTCCCAGTAGTCCATCAGGGAGTAGAATGCCCAGGTGGTACGAACGCGAGCAAAGGCTGTGGCACCAAAGAGTTTCCGAAGCCACACCATGAACATGCTGTCCACGCATACCGACCCCCACTCCCCCCCGGTCGGCGTGGCCAGCTCCTTCAGCTTCAACGGACGGCGGGACTCCACGGAGTGGGTGGTGATGTCCACCGTGCCACCTCCGCAATCCACTATCATGAGCTTGATGCCAGCCTTGGCGAGAAGGGGTGCCTCCTTGATGCTGACGGCCAGGCACGCCGCCTCTGGTTCGAGGCAAAGCTGAAGCTGCGAGGCATCGTCCACCGCGCTGATGATACCAGCCCGGTGGGCAGAGACGCGCATGAAGCGCTTGGCGAAGTCGTCGTAGATGGCCGGGATAGTCACCACCCAGTTCACGTCTGCAACGGTTGGGTCCACCTCAAGGCGCTGCGACAGGTGCGCGAGCACGTCTTCTTTGATGTGCCGAAGAACCGCAGTCATGACGGTCATGAGGGGGAGCGTTTCTCCGCCCTCGGCGGTAGCCACGGGTTGGTCGACTGAAGTGTACCCGCTGTTCTTGCACAACTCTGTCTTAAAGAAACGGAAAAGCATGTTCGGAGCCCCTGAGGTGGTACGGCGGCCGGTACAACCGCCGCCATCCTCATCGCGTTGAGCATCCTTGATAAAGCGCTCCCGGGCAGTCTTGCCGAAGGCCAGGAGACCATGAGGGTGCTTGGCCTCGAGGAGGGCAGCGGTCTCCGTCTTCAACTGCGCAGATCGGCAATGCCCGCTGCCGTTGGGGGTGCACACGGTGACTTCGTTTTCCGATCTTCCCGGAATGGAGATACCTATGGCGGTGCGGCTTGTACCAAGGTCGACGGCGACGTCGACGATCCCCTTGGGCATGGTGTCCAAGGCGGCTACCTGTCGTCGCGGCCAAGGGGCGAGTGGAGAATCAAGGCGCAAGTTTAAGGTTTCCCGTGAAGGAGGTGGTGACACTTCATGCGGAGAGGCATCGCGTTGGACATTGTCTCATCCAGGGGCGAGTTGTGAGTATTGGTAAAAGCTGTGCTCCTTGCAATGCACTCCACATCGGCAGTGACCCATAGAATCGGAATTATTCTTGCGGCAGTATCGTGTCAATATTCCTCCCAAAACAAGAAACGCCACAACAATGTTGGTAACAAACTGGCTGTTCGAATGACGCCGAAACACTAGTAATAATGAAGCCGAAAGAATCTTCGCCTGGACATATTGCACCAAAAGCGGGTGTTTGAGACGGAAGGATCACTAGATGGAGACCACTACACGGTTATGTGTATGATGCTGCGTCTAAATAGCAGCGGTTTGCCCTTTTGGAAAGATCCCCGTGGAGGAACTGCCGGAAAACAAATTCCGAACGGCTGGCGTTCAAAACGCTGCAGGAAGTCAACCACAAAAGGGTAGAAACTTCGGAAGTACTGCTGTAGTTCCAACGGCAGGGGGTCAGAGGGTAGCAAAAAAAGCGTGCTTTGGGAAGACATAGGAAAGCGCGCTCTTTCCTTGTCTTCCCGTGGTGAAGGCGTTTTGTTGTATTCATCAACTGCTTGGATCAACCGCTTTAGGCTCTCCTCCGCCACACCTTTGATTGGGAACCGCCGCTGCTCCACCGCCAATGCAGTGGGTTTGATAATGGCGCGGGTGTCAGGCACCCCACAGGGCGTGTTTTCTATTCGCACACACCACGTCTCCATTCTTGAGCAGCGCTGGGGCAAAGGATCATGATGCAATGTACGTTCTAAAGAATCTCGCCGCACAAATCAAGTACAGGAGTTTTTCTTGCGTAGTCACCAAGCGATGACAGAAGAGGGGGATTTACGACGTGGATCCGATGACACAAGTCAGCCAGTGTCTCGCAGAACATCTCGGGCAAGAATATGCAGAGGACGGGATGTTTTTCTTAGGTCAAAGGCGACACCTAGACTCGCGGCGCGTTCTTCAACAGACAAATTCCAGCCTGACTTACTCTAACCTGAGTGGGGGCGGTTCGCCAAATCCAGCATGATGGATACTGTTGACGCCTCATATATACTCTGCAGAAGAACATTCATCTCACTTTGCATTTTGAGTCAATACACAACAGGGTGACGTTCTGGTTGTAAGCCCCGGCCCTGAACTCGAGAGGTGCAGTTTCGAACAAGCGAAGCGAAAATGGGCCCGATGCGAATGCCCGTAGGGAGGGTTGTTTCGAAGCATGGAATATCCGTTGTCGTGACTTTGCGATGCACTCTCCTATTCTTTGCTACGTCGACTAGGCATGCGTTAGAAATATCCCGTACCGACTACGGGGGAACTACTTTCCAGCAACGAAAGGCCTCAAGGAGTGGTCCGCTTGTTGCTGTACTGTCGCCGCGAAGCCTCGCGTGTGGCGGATTGGTTTGAATTGGGGCGTCAGGTACAACGCGCGTTGCTCTCGATCTAGTCGCAGCTGCGGCGGAGGGAAAGGCCGGCGGTTCTGTGCGGGAACGAACACCTTGTTGTCACCGTGGGTGAAGGTACGGCGTCATAGAGGTGTGCATCCATAAAGGGAATCTCGCCTACCACTCCGACCAGAAGCCGGATTCGCTGCCAAAGAATGGGGGAGGGGGCGAGCAACGTCGAGCTTCGTGAGAGTATCGGTTGCCCTCCGCCGAATAGTGCTAATGTTTGTTCTCCCTTCTTCCTGTCGCGTTGTGAGGACAGGTCGAGGAGCGCACCAGCAATGGGGGCAGCAAGAGAGCGGTGCAACTGCCCCCGTATATCCCTAGTCTGTAACTTTGCCATGCGCTGTTTTGGAGGATTGGCGTACGTAGTAGGTGGCGCTGGTGACATGAATGTTCTAGCAAAAACTCCCAACCAGAGAAGGCAGGGCACGGAACCAAGCGCATGACTCTCTCGCTCTGTGTCTCTCGCTTTCATGTACTAATGTGTGTGCGTTCCTCTCCCTCTTTCTCTTTGCACGAAGGTTTTGACGCACCTTCCTTTTCGNCGTAGTAGGTGGCGCTGGTGACATGAATGTTCTAGCAAAAACTCCCAACCAGAGAAGGCAGGGCACGGAACCNGTAGGTGGCGCTGGTGACATGAATGTTCTAGCAAAAACTCCCAACTAGAGAAGGCAGGGCACGGAACCAAGCGCATGACTCTCTCGCTCTGTGTCGCTCGCTTTCATGTACTCATGTATGTGCGTCCCTCTCCCTCTTTCTCTTTGCACGAAGGTTTTGACGCACCTTCCTTTTCGGAAAGTCTTCGGAGGGAGAAACAGAGGGAGCTCTCGCGCCACCAGGGTCGTGCGAGCTGGACGATCTGATAGTTGGACGAGGAAGGAAGGACAGGGTAAATAAGGGATGCGTTGGTTGTGGTAAAAGTGGGGGAGGTTCAACATCGTCGAACGTAGAGCGTGTATGTTGGGTGCATAGGTGAGACATCGAGTCTTCTATTNGGAAAGTCTTCGGAGGGAGAAACAGAGGGAGCTCTCGCGCCACCAGGGTCGTGCGAGCTGGACGATCTGATAGTTGGACGAGGAAGGAAGGACAGGGTAAATAAGGGATGCGTTGGTTGTGGTAAAAGTGGGGGAGGTTCAACATCGTCGAACGTAGAGCGTGTATGTTGGGTGCATAGGTGAGACATCGAGTCTTCTATTTAGTATATTGCTTCCGAAGCAGTGTTGGAGTTGTGCTGTTGCCTACTCGATTCACCCCGAGATTCGACGAACCCACGCCAAAGCGATCGCCGTGTGATCGGAACGGGGGCTTCCCAGCTAGGACTACTCCCTATAATGCTGTGCGGCAGGTGCCGTGGGGTGTACTTCCTTGTCTGTTCCGTTCTCTTATTACCAGCACAAGAGTGGATCAGTCTACATGGCTGCCGACGGGGTCTCCGCAAGCAGGCCTCACGTCTGCCGATGGGTTCTACACTCATACATACGCCACAACACTCGGATGCATCCAATACCATAACACGCTCCCGTCCCCATGCCTACTGTGGGCATGCTTGCCGGTTCCTCGTTTTTAATTTCGTCAATTGGTGTCACTTGGGGAAATATGCATAGATAACAGTACTATCGTAGGAAATTGATGGGCGTATTAATGAACAACATGTAGGCTTTCGATGTCGATTTGTTGTGTGTGTGTTGGGCTGCTTTTGGGGGGGGAGGGCAAGCGGTTTGCACGTACTATTGGACCGGGTGGGTGCCGTTTGTTGAGACTTTCTCACGCAATATCCCACATACCACCTGATTCCGGCCCCAACTTTCTGTTTACTTACGATAGATTGCCCCATCCCACCCAATGTCGATATTGTGCGGACGTAATACCCACCATCCGTGGAGAACTATCTTCCCAGCTCCTCATTCCTGTCCCATCCCACATTAAACCCATGAGGGCCATTCCTATCCCATCAAATGAAATGGCAATTGACGGCGGGGTGCTTTCCAACATCAAAGGAGAGCAAAAATATCACGCCTCCGGCGAGCGAACATGCCGTCCCTTGCCGCACTGGGTCTAGAGGGCCCCATACAACCCCGCCCTTAATGGGTTTGTGTGAAGACTATGTTTCGTACGCGTATATATTGGTAGGTCTCAGGAGAAGAAGGTGCTACACCTCTTGTTGCAAGCGTTGGGTGAAGTTAGGGTAAGGCGGCCGCCCGCCGTTCAGGCGGGGCATGGGTGAACTGGATTACAAGTAAGATGTGCAGATGGCAGGAAAGCCAAAATCGAAAACGATTTCAATGCTTTGGCCTGATGGGCGCGGGGTACTTGTTGCGGATGTTCGGCCAAGAATAGACCTTGGCAAATAAGAACAGGTGCTCGGGTTGAGGCAGACAAGTAGCCTCGAGCCTCGCGCGAAATAAGCGGTTCTTTGTGTAGGTGCGGGTATGCACTCTGCAGGGGGTACGGGGAGAGGATGTGTTTGTTCGAAAAACACACAAAAAAAACGCTTCCCGGGGGACATCTCAGAGAACTGACCCTGCCACGACGAAGGGGAGGTTAGAAGCGACTATGGCGGTAGTGTCAAGTCAACAAGCCGACCTGAGGCAGTGACGTGTGCCTCGCCACCTCGCCAGATGCGGGCCGCTTCTCCAGCAGCCCTAAGGTGTGTGTGTGATCTGCTCATCTGCTCTCTCTCTCTGTCTCTCTCTGGTACACACACCTCGTGCTGGGGCGATTCGATTCGACTCACTTGTGTCAGAAACGCTTGGCGTCGTTCGCGGAGTTGCTGCTCCCGCAGATGGGTGATGAAGCCTGCCTTGACAAGGTTTGATGGTAGTCGCGGCCATTGGCCGGGGAAGGTACCAAAGAAGTACGTGATAAATACATTCACGATCAGTACAGCAAGAGCTGAGCAACAAGACCGAGATTATTGGGGTACAGCACTGGCCCGCTCATAAGAAAGTTGCCTACAAGAAAGTGAGGCTGAGATATTTCAAAAATTAAGAAAGTGCCCAGGCTGGGCGACGAGTGCCACACTAAATCCCTTGCATTAGTCTAAATAAGAAAGTGCTATCCTCGACCGTCACCAAACTTAAGAACGTCAGGCTGGGCCCGATGTCTGGCTTCTTGCAAGCGGGCCGGGCTGTAGTCTAGAGGTGGAACTTGCTCTGTTTAAGTACATGTGTAGACAAAGCAAGTCTAGCGCGACTTTGTGCCCGCGATGGATGGAATGTGTCTCTGGCCCTCGCCAAACACGCCCAACATACACCTGAAGCTCGAAGGGCGTGCCTTCTTGAATGAAGATGGGGGGAAGGGAAGTATCTACTTGAAGGAGCTGCGGGGCATCTGCATACGCAGCGGCGGAGACAGAGAGGAAGGGAGAGAGAAAACTGTTCCTATTCCACGCCTGTTCCAACTGCTGCCCACGATAGAGCGGGCTGGATAGAGCTGCTGTTCTCG